GTGTTTTAAGTAACATAATTAAAATTAGTAATTGTATCAAATTTTCTAAATTTAGGATATTTAAATATGGAGTAAAAAAGTAATTAATAAAACAGGTAGTATGCGTATATTCATAAAATGTATTGAATTTAAATCTTAAAAAAGGCACAAGTGTCAAATAGCCTTATCTATTATTCGCAAGTGTTCAATTAATTGCTTGTTCTAAAATAAGATCAAATCGGCCACATTTACTTCTAAAATTGTGGCCGTTTAGTATTTTCTCCAGGCCAGGTTTCCATCACGTGACCCATCTATAATGCTGATATGGAATTTAAACAAAAATAATTTGATGACTTGTTTCATTTCTGACTCATTCAAACCCAGAGAAAAATCGCTACTCTCTCCCTCCTCATCCTCACCACCATTATCGCGACTACCGATCTGTAAACATAGTATACCAATAGTTTGTCGTGCTTTGATATTATTACTGAAAGTTCCCGAGTCTTGAATGCATGAAACTTAGTTGGTTCCTACGTAATTTTAGACAAATTAATTATCTAGATTACGACATGTGTCAGACACAAAGACGGACATAATATAAAAAAATAAATAAATAAATAAAAGCAGATAAATAAAGGAACTAGGAACACGCAATATGTTTACACAATTTAGAGAAACTTTCTCACACCGCTGGAAATCACAATATTTCCGACCACCAAAAAGTGTTCGGAAATGTCCTAAATTCGGTCGGAAACAACCTTTCCGACCATTTTCCGGCCAAAGAGGGTATCCGACTACAGTGGTCGGAAATACCGACCACGTTTTAAAAATGGTCGGACATTCCGACCACTATAAGCATCCGTCGGAAAAATTAAAAAATATCACTTCTTGCGGCCAAATATTTTGGTGATCGGAAATGTGGTCGGAAAATTGCGAAATTCCAGCAGTGTCATACGTCTACGGAGCCACTAAGCAGTGAAATCCAACTCCGGATCCATTAGATGATCACGGAAATTACAAACGGTTGAATTGATTTTCTGTACAACACTATATCCTAATCATTTACAAAGAAGATAAGGATGAATAATCAGATTAAATCAGCAGTATATCTAATCAGGATTCGCAAAGGAAAAGCCGTGTAGTAAATGTGATGAAAGAGAACCACAAGTTAGTCTTTTCATCCGCCTCACTTCTCATATAGAAACACTTCAATGCTTGTTAGGAAAAGAAAAGGATTAGTTTTATCATGTGTTATATATTATTCTGTTTAATCCGTTTATTTATTTATTTTCAAAGCAATTAATAGTTCATCAAAAATATAATTTTCAATTACAATTATATGATTTTACTATGGTAGGCTAATAAACTAATGATGGTATACCTTGATGTGGTGCCACAAAGGAAGCGATAATTTGAAATCTTTATAGTTATGCGGTTATTTCATGATTTAAAAGTGACATTTATATATTTTTTTATTTAGACAATTATGTTAAGTATGAACTACACCTAATCCACATTGGTACATTATTTGTTTAATATATGTGCGGTAGAGGTCGATAAAGGAGCAAGTATAACGATTGGTGGTTAGAGTGATTATTAGACAGAGGCTCGTGAAGGGCCAAATCTATTACCTTGTATTATAAAAAATTGATAAAATAAATTAAAGATAACTATTTTTGTCATTACCCAATAAAGTACCTAATACAAAACAAAAGATCAATTATTCAAGGAATCCTCTCTTTCTATTTCATTCTCCAAAAATACTAATAAATATCATTTACTTTGACCAATTTAGCTATATTTAGTTTTATATGTATACAATTAATATATTATTTTAGGTTATATATGTTAAACGGAAATTTAGTAGGGTTTGGGTTTTAAAAAGTAAAAATTTTATTGGGTTAGGATTTAGTTAGTGAGGTAGAAAAAATGGTTTATATATATATATATATATATATATATATATATATATATATATATATATATATATATATATATATATATATATATATATATATATATATATATATATAAAAGTCTGCTCAAATCTAGTCGCGTCTTTCCGCGCGGATGGTGCGGCCTCTTGAAAAATGCACCGATAGTATGTGTTAACAAAAGGCACCAATAGTGTTAGGAAAATGCACAACAATAAAGTGCACAAATACACCAAAAAAGACACAAAACACCCAAAATAATGCACCATAACTCCCCACACCTAATTGTGCATTTCCAAACAGTGTGTGGTGCTTTTATGCATATCCAATGGTGCATTTTTTGTGATGTGTACCTAATTTGTGAATTTTTTTTTTATGTGTATTTACTAACATTGTTGGTGCATATTGGCATAACTATTGGTGTTGTCGCACCGACCGCATGTTAAGGCGCGGCCGCACATAAACTCTGCTATATATATATATATATATATATACATATATATATATATATATATATATATATATATATATATATATATATATATATATGTATATATATATATATATATATATATATATATATGTATATATATATATATATATATATATATATATATATGTGTGTGTGTGTGTGTGTGTGTATGTATAATAAAGTTCAAATGCGGCGGGGTCTTCCCGTGCGGCGGTGCGGCGGAATTCCAGAATACACCAACAGTGTAAGAAAAACACACCATAATGAAATGTAATAAAACATCACAAAATACACAACAGACCCAAAAAAATACACCATATAAATTACCACCCCAATGGTGTATTTTCGAACACTGTATGGTGTTTTTACTCACACCTAATGGTGTGTGTTTGGTGATGCGGGGCTCTGTTTACTCTGTTTTTGTGGTGTATTTTCCTAACGCTGATGGTGCATATTTGTTGAACTATTGGTGTTGCCGCACCGCCGCACCGTAAGACACCGCCGCACCATAAGACACTGCCGCACCTGAACTCGCCTCTATATATATATTAAAATAAAGTTCAAATGCAGCGGGGTCTTCCCGTGCGGCGATGCGGCGGAATTCCAGAATACACCAACAGTGTTAACAATATGCACCAACAGTGTAAGAAAAACACACCATAATGAAATGTAATAAAACATCACAAAATACACAACAGACCCAAAAAAAATACACCATATAACTTACCACCCCAATGGTGTATTTGTTGAACTATTGGTGTTGCCGCACCGCCGCACCGTAAGACACCGCCGCACCATAAGACACTGCCGCACCTGAACTCGCCTCTATATATATATTAAAATAAAGTTCAAATGCAGCGGGGTCTTCCCGTGCGGCGATGCGGCGGAATTCCAGAATACACCAACAGTGTTAACAATATGCACCAACAGTGTAAGAAAAACACACCACAATGAAATGCAATAAAACATCACAAAATACACAACAGACCCAAAAAAAATACACCATATAACTCACCACCCCCAATGGTGTATTTTCGAACACTGTATGGTGTTTTTACTCACACCTAATGGTGTGTGTTTGGTGATGCGGGCCTCTGTTTACTCTGTTTTTTGTGGTGTATTTTCCTAACATTGATGGTGTATATTTGTTGAACTATTGGTGTTGTCGCACCGCCGCACCGTAAGACACTGTCGCACCTGAACTCGCCTCTAAAGTTCAAATGCGGTGAGGGCTTCAGCTGCGGCGATGCGGCAGAATTTCAGAATACACCAACAGTGTTAACAACATGCACCAACAGTGTAAGGGAAACACCCCACAATGAAATGCAAAAAAAAAACACCAAAAAATACACAATTGACCCCCAAAAAAATACACCATATAACTCACCCCACCCGAATGGTGTATTTCGCCGCAGTTGAACCTTACTATATATATATATATATATATATATATATATATATATATTGAATGCTACTGACTCTATTATATTGTAATATCTGTTCAAACATTTATCAACCTAATGAAGCACACAGAGTCAACAACCCAACAACCCCATCAACTTCGTCAACCCATTCATATATATATATATATATATATATATATATATATATATATATATATATATATATATATATATATATGAAAAAGTTCAATTGCGGCGAGACCCTCCCGTGTGGTTGTGCGGTGGTTTTCAGAATACACCAATAGTATAAGAGAAACACACAACAATGAAATGTAAAAATACACCAAAAATACACAACACACCCAAAAAATATACCATATACCTCTCTACCACTAATATTAATGGTGTATTTCCGAACAATGTGTGGTGCTTTTAGTCATACCTAATGGTGTGTTGTTGGTGATGTGTATATTACTTAATTTGTGTGTGTTTTTGTAGTGCATTTCATAACGTTGATGGTGTATATTTTGCTTAACTATTGGTGTATTCTGAAAACCGCCGCACGACCGTACTGGAGGGTCTCGCCGCACCGGAACTCGACTTTCTCTTCCCGTGCGGTTGTGCGGATGGATGCACGTTAAGCATTAATCTGATGCACTTAACGTACAAAACACGCGCACATTAAGCACACAAACAAAACACCTTAAGAACACAACCCCACGCACGTTAAGCACAAGTCTCACGCATGTTAAGCACAAGCCTCATGCACCTTAAGCACAGAACTCATGCACCTTTTAAGTTTCAACAACTACGTACTCACGTTAAGCACAAACTCACGCACATTAAGCACAAAACTCATGCATGTTAAGCACACAACTCACGCACCGTAAGCACAAAACTCACACACTTAAGCACAAAATTCACTCACTTAAGTTTCAACAACAACTCATATTAAGCACAAACACACGCACATTAAGGACACAAACTTCACGCGCATTAAGCACAATACTCAAGCACTTGAAGTACAAAACCAACGCACGTTAAAACCGCACAACCGCACGAGAAACACTTACCCGCACTTGTACCTCTTTCTATATATATGTGTGTGTATGGATTTTGAGTACGATGTATGTCAATTTCAATAGGTACTCTACATTGGAGGGAGAGACGGAAGGGTGGGACGGGGCAGAGTGAGTTTATAGAATTCCTAAATAATTTAAACATCATAGTTTCATTGAACAATCCAATGTATCATCTTCATGAAATAAAAAGGTCAAGTTTTCATAACTAAGAAATAAAAAGGCTGGCCATTATTGTTAATGTGATCTTTCGATCCCTACTTTAATCAACATAGCGAAGAAGCTCCTCATATGATTGGCCTTCATCATCCGCATCGCTCTGCTCACCATTTTTGCTCGAAGCATGACTTTCTTCTTTGTTGCTCGAAATGTCCTCCTCTGCTATTTCCTCTTCCTTTGCTTTCTTTTCCTTTGCTTTCTTTTCATTTTTGGAGGTTGAAGCTTCACCTTTCCTCTTTGGGTTACACAACACCATGCAAAAATTTTTATTTTGAAAATATTTATTGTAACCAAATATGTTTTAGTATAATTTAATTATTTGTCTATCACAACTCACCTTCTTTGATGATTTGCGTGGAGTGGGTCCATGCAGGATGTAATTTGATACTGCTTTAACGGTCCTAAAAGACTTTTTCACACCATCTTTATAGTAGAACTACACCATGCAAATAATACAAATTTTAAATGAAATTACAAATATCCAAAACACTATGATCTTAAAGTTAATTAACAAAATCTCCCACTCAATACATGGTAGTTGGCTGTTGGCAGACATAAATTTAATATATTACTGTGAAATATTTTTTTATCGTTTTGTTAAATAAAAACATTATTAATTAGATTACCTTTTCAACTCTCCCACTTGTTGAACGCTTTCTCATCTGCATCTTCCAATTCTGAGCTCTTTCTTTATACTGCACAGGGATTTCCACTTCCTCTTCACTTGGGTTTTCCTCATCCTATATATGATTGTATACAATTATAAAACTACCAAACTTACAACTGGAATTAACATTATTTAATATCAATAACCTCAAATCGAATGTATATTAAGTAAATTATATACTAACCAGGATGATGTCTATTTTATAATCGTCTGGGCTTTCTACGGATGGAATGAACTTCACTTTCATATCATAATCCCCCAAAACTATGGAGGTTTTAAGTTGTCGCCACTTTCTTTGGGGCACCACATTAGTGTTCACCATTTCCTCAGCCTGCCACAACAAAATCGTATAATTGAAACTAAAAATTATTAATAATAAAACTCGTTTAATCGAATTTTAATTAGAAAATATAATAATAATATTAACACTTTGAAGATTAAGAGCACTTGCCTAAGTAAAAGAAAAACACTTGAAAGGGCTATTGGGTGTGAAAACTATGGAAGCTATTAAGATTATTATTTTTATGGTGTGAGTAGTTTAAATAGCTTCCATTGACTTTATACTCAGTAACTCTCATTGAACTTTACCATACCCCTAATCAAATTGGATTTGATATTAGTTTTCACAAAAAGATAGATAAAAATGTTCATTATTCTACATTATTTTTGTATTATTGATTAAATTGATTTTCTAATATTCAATAATAATTAATGATTTAATTTTACAGCTTAACAAATAAATATAAATAAAATATTTTAACTTGTGAATAAAAATAAAATTTAACAATCACATTTTCTTCCATAAAAAAAATAATTAACAATCAAACATTCTAACTTGTAACTAAATATAACAAATTAGCAATCAAAATTTTCAAACATAAACAATTTTAATTTCTAGCTGTGGTTGAAGTGGGTTGTGGGAAGTCACACACACACACCAAAAAAAAAAAAATAATAATAATAATAAATTACATAATTGTGGATGTGGAATTTTACATTCTAAAATCTTACCTGTGTGAATCCAAGATTGTGAAACTTGTAATTTATGGATGATTATTCGGCTGGAAATAGTAATGTATACTTCGTTAGAACCTAGAGGAAGATTGTTGCAAGCTGAGCTTAAGTAGGAAGTATGAAGCAATTGTCCGAACAATAAAAAATAGGCGGTTTAAGGAATTTTTGCAGAGTTTATTTAGTGTATAAAGAAGAGCAATAACTACTGGGGTTAGCTAATCCCACATAACCCGTAATTCATCCGTCATTAAAAGACGTTTCATTTGACCAAAACAATTATATTTTCAATTGTATCCCTTAAACGCATTTCATTTTAAAAAGTGTCCCAAAACTTTTTTTTTTTTTAATTAGTGAAATGGTATTTTCGAACACTGTGTGATGCATTTATGCATACCTAATGGTGTATGCTGCACTGACACTGCACGGGAAGTTTAATAACAAAACTTGTTTAATCAAATTTTAATTAGGAAATTTAATAATAAGATGAACATTTTGAAGATTAAGAGGACCTGCCAAAGTAAAAAAGAAAAAAAAAAAAAAAAAGAAAAAAGAAGAAGAATCTTGAAGGGGCTATTGGGTGTGAAAACTACGGAGACTATTAAGACTATTACTCTTATGGTGCGAGTATGACGAGTAGTATAAATTGCTTCCGTTGACTTTATACTCAATAACTCATTCAACTTTACCATAACCCTACTCAAATCCGATAAAAATGTTCATTATTCTACATTACTTTTGTATTATAGATCAGATCGATTTTCTAATATCCAATAATAATAAATGATTTAATTTTACAATATAAAAAATAAATATAAATAAAATATTTTAACTTGTAAATAAAAATAATATTTAACGATCAAATTTCTTACATACAAAAAAAAAAAAAAAAAAAAAAAAAAATTAACAATCAAACATTCTAACGTGTAACTAAAAATAACAAATTAGCAATCAAAATTTTCAAACACAAACAATTTTCTAGTTGTGGTTGAAGTGGGTTGTGGGTAGTGATACAAACAAAAACATATGAAATGTTCTAACATTGGTTGCGTATATACATAAACATCAACTCTAAAACATATGAAATTTTACATTCTAAACTCTTACCTTTGTGAATCCAAGACTGTGAGACTTCTAATTAATGGGCGATTGTTAGTTGAAGGCGGCCGTGCTTAAGTAGGAAACATGGTGGTGTGATGAAGTTGTAGGTAGTGAGTAATTGTTTGAGCAACAAAAAGTAGATTTATGGAATATTTGTAAAGTCTGTTATGTGTAAAGATTTTTTTTTTTTTTTAAAGATAAGTGTAAAGACAATTTTAAAGAAATATAACTAGTGGTGTTAGCTAACCCCACACAACCCGTAAATCCATCAGCCATTAAATAACGTTTAAAGACGTTTCACTCGAGTCTTGACAAAAAAAGAATTTATATTTTCAAATATATCCCTAAAAAGCATTTCATTTCAAAAAATGTCCCAAATTGTTTTTTTTTTCTTTAATTAGTGAAATGGTCTAGAAAAGTTAAAGTCAAAATTTTGATGAGTTAATAATGTCAAAACCAGCGTGAAATGCAAAAAATACTCCTACAACTTTTGTTTAAATAGATTATAATTTTTTTTATTAGGTTATAAATTCATTCAATCAATTCTATATGCATCACAAATTAAATCGATTGAATAAATATCATACTCAAATGATTAGATTTTAATAGGTTATAAATTTATTCAATTTGATTTCTAGACAGGTCTTCCCGTGCGGTGAGAACAGGTATTCCCGTGCGGTCAGTGCGGCATACACCATTAGGTATGCATAAATGCACCATACAGTGTTCGAGAATACACCAGAATGAAATGCCGAAAAATGCACCACACAAAAAAAAATACACCACACATAATGGTGTATTTTCGAACACTGGATGATATATTTATGCATACCTAATGGTGTATGCCGCACTGACACCGCACGGGAAGACCTGTTTTCACAGGAACCTGACTCTCTCTCTCTCTCTCTATATATATATATATATATATATATATATATATATATATATATATATATATATATATATATATATATATATATATATATATATATAAGTCTAATATTATTAGTACCGAGAATTTAATAAGAAAACTTGTTTAATCAAATTTTAGTTAGGAAATTTAATAATAAGATGAACATTTTGAAGATTAGGAGGACCGGCCAAAGTAAAAAAAAAAAAAAAAAAAAAAAAAAAAATCTTGAAGGGGCTATTGGGTGTGAAAACTACGGAGACTATTAAGACTATAACTCTTATGGTGCGAGTATGACGAGTAGTATAAATTGCTTCCATTAACTTTATACTCAATAACTCATTCAACTTTACTATAACCCTACTCAAATCCGATTTGATATTAGTTTTTTCAAATAAATTAAAAAATGTTCATTATTCTACATTACTTTTATATTATAGATCAGATCGATTTTCTAATATCCAATAATAATAAATGATTTAATTTTACAAATAAAAAATAAATAAAAATAAAATATTTTAACTTGTAAATAAAAATAATATTTAATGATCAAATTTTCTTACATAAAAAAAATTAACAACCAAACATTCTAACGTGTAACTAAAAATAACAAATTAGCAATCAAAATTTTCAAACACAAACAATTTTCTAGCTGTGGTTGAAGTGGGTTGTGGGTAGTGACACAAACAAAAACATATGAAATGTTCCAACATTGGTTGCGTATATACATAAACATCAACTCTAAAATATATGAAATTTTACATTCTAAACTCTTACCTTTGTGAATCGAAGACTGTGATACTTCTAATCAATGGGCGATTGTTAGTTGAAGGCGGTCGTGCTCAAGTAGGAAACATGGTGGTGTGATGAAGTTGTAGGTAGTGAGTAATTGTTTGAGCTGTTCAAGAAGTAGATTTATGGAATATTTGCAGAGTCTGTTATGTGTAAATTTTTATTTTTATTTTTAAAGATAAGTGTAAAGACAATTGTAAAGAAATATAACTAGTGGGGTTAGCTAACCCCACACAACCCGTAAATCCATCAGCCATTAATAACAGACGTTTAAAGACGTTTCACTCGAATCATGACAAAAAGAGAATTTATATTTTCAAATATATCCCTAAAAAGCATTTCATTTCAAAAAGTGCCCCAAAATTTTTTTTTTCTTTAATTAGTGAAATAGTCTAGAAAAGTTAGTCAAAATTTTGATGAGTTAATAATGTCAAAACCAGCGTGAAATGCAAAAAATACTCCTACAACTTTTGTTTAAATAGATTATAATTTTTTTTCTATTAGGTTATACATTCATTCAATCAATTCTATATGCATCACAAATTAAATCGATTGAATAAATATCATACTCAAATGATTAGATTTTAATAGGTTATAAATTTATTTAATTTGATTTCTTATAATTTCAAACCATTTATTTGATTTAAACATGTTATAAATTTAGTTGATTTAATTAATAATAGATCATGAAAATGTAGGGGTGTAAATGAGCCGAGCCACTCGCGAGCCGCTCGTGAGCGGCTCGGTCAACGCTCGGCTCGAGCTCGGTCAAAATCGAGCTCGAGCCGAGCTCGAGCGGCTCGTCAAATAAACGAGCACGAGCCGAGCCTAGATACTCTAGGCTCGTGGCTCGTCGAGCCGGCTCGCGAGCCGTATAATATACAATATAATATATAATATTATATAATTAAAATATATAAAAATAATAATTAAAATTTAAAACTCAAAAGTCAAAACTTAAAAGCCCTATTGTTTTGAACATATCCGGGACGAAATATATATGTACAAGGAATCAAGGACTACTACTGTTGACTTGTGTTTTGTTGTGATTTGCAAACTTATTTTGAATGTTTTGAAGTTTGAACAAACAGACTTGTGTCTTCACTATCTTTTACTTCGTTGCGAAATTATTTTGAGTGTTTTGATTTGAAGTTTGTATTATTTATGTATGGATAAAACAGAGCAGTTTAAATTTTAAATCAAATAGGTTAAACCGTCAAATTCAAGGTTAAGATCGAGCACGCATTTGAACCCGAGCTCGAGCCTGATCTCGAGCTCGAATTCGAGCTCAAAATCAAGCTCGAACTCGAGCTCAAGATCGAGTTCGAGCTCGAGCTCGAACAATCGGCTCGAGCAGCTCGATAATTGCCGAGCTCGAGCTCGAGCATCCAGTTACGAGCTCGATCGAGCTCGAGCATAGCTGCATTTAACGAGCTCGAGCTCGAGCATACCCATGCTCAAGCTCGGCTCGACTCGTTTACACCCCTATGAAAATGAGACAAAATTAAAGTGTGACTAAAATGGCACACCAAATATAATGGTTTAGAGGAAAAGGGAAAGCATACAGGGATAATTTCCCTACGTACTATTAATTGAATGTCATTCTTACACGACAAAATTAAAGGTGAAATCTTCAAACAAAAATTATGGACACATTTATGGGTGAGGGTATATATCATTTAATAGAAGTTGGTGAGTATAAATAAAGATATTATTTTATATTCTAATGATATGGTGACACTCTATTAGGGTAAAATAAAATTGCGAGTTTAATTTCCAAATTGGGTTATTTTACATTTATTACACATGGGAGTCTTCTTATTACATAAAATTAAATATAGAAAAGATTTAAATTTTCTTCTTCAACATTAATAAATTTACGGGGACCTGTATTAGGTACTAGAAGATTCTATTAATATCCCGGGGTCTCTTGGCCTTTCCCCTCAAAAAAAAAAAAAAAAAAAAATCTTCTTATTTAATAGTTTATACTAAGAGAAATATGTTAAATGTTAGGCAAGATATAGAGAATTATATCATATCGTGGGACATGGTCCGAAATGATGTTGTTTTGTTTAAATTAATATATCTTTTTTTTTCTTTAATTTGATCAACATTCACCTTTGCAGTAGGCCAGGTCTATAATATGTTAACAAGTGTTAAAAGCTAATAGTGTTTGGAATTGGAAAATGGAAAATGAGCTTCAAGGCTAGTCTAAGGAGAAACCTAAAAATAACAAAAATTTCTTTAAAATTTCTAACTTTCCTCTTTTATAGTTCTCAGATTTCTCTACGTTACGAGACCTATTATTGTATTATGTGAGTAATGAGCCTCGTAACAGCAGGTACATGATTCTAATGATGGCTGCTACATGAACTATTACGAGCGTAATGCTGCCCGTAATTGCAAAATCAGATTTATGATTATCTCTGCTACGAAGCCTCCTACGCGCGTAACTTCAATTCATTCAAATAATACCAGATTTATCGTTATGATGCTTCTTGCTACGAACCAAACTCGAGCGTAATAGTACTCGCAATAGTAAAAATGGATTTCTAATCACGAGTGCTACAAGCCGAGTTATGAGTCTAGCTAATGGAGCTCATGATAGTATACTATTAAGCTTCCTTTCAATTTTTGCTTTTTTTTGTCCAATTCACCATTTTTTAGTCCAATTTTTCTACGGAACATAAAAGTGCCTCAAATATAGCTCTTAAATGCAATTCATCACAATTCAAGGCATTTCAACCACTAAAAGAACAAATTCAATTCCAAAATTGTCAAAAAATGACACTAAAAAGTAGTGGATCGGAATTTGACACTCATCCATACGCAGTCAATGTTATAAAACATTTTTTTTTTTTTTTTTGTGCCACTACACGCAACCCACTTCGACCAAAGTTATAAAATTGTTTATGTTTGAAATTTTGATCGATAGTTTGATAATTTTAGTTACAAGTGAGAATGTTTGATTGTTAATTATATTTTTTATGAAAACAAATTTGATGTTGAAATGTTATTTTTATATACAGGTTAAAATGATTTATTAATATTTATTTTTATGATATAAAATTTAATCATTAATTGGTATTTGAATTGATATTAGAAAATTGATCTTATCAATATTATTACAAAATTAATATAGAATAAGAAAAATTTTCATTTTATTTGTGAAAATTAATATCAAATCAGATTTCATTTTTAAGTAGTGTTATGATAGTAATAGTAATGTGTGAGATCGTCTCACGGGTCTCAATCTGTGAGCCGGGTTAGATCTTTGATTAATGGGTCAAATATTTGATTAATAGGCCTCATCTGTGACCTCATTAATCAAAGATTCCACCCGTCTCACGGATTAAGACCCGTGAGATGATCCCACACAAGTTTTTGCCATAAA